AGTCTGTTCTTGTAGTCTTAAAGTCAAACCAATCATGAAGAACACAGCAAACACCATATCACACACATTCCACAGCTTATCAGACCACACTGCTATTTTCTGCCTGCAATGACATAGATATATATATACATACATATATATAAAAACTTTGGAGGGATATGTTATATATCTTTATATGTGCATCTAAACTATTGTATCTGGGCACCTCTGCAAAAACAGTGATTATGTATGGGGCAAAACCTAAGGAGTAAACAGCTGACAAGGAAGACAGGATTAAATTAAAACAAAAAGACTTTTTTTTTTTTTCAACAAACCGGCCATATCCCACCAAGGCAGGGTGACCTAAAAATAAAAACAAAAGTTTTTCATTTTAAATTCAGTAATGTATACAGGAGAAGAAGTTACTAGCCATTTGCTCCCAGCATTTTTAGTCACCTCTTGCGACATGCACGGCTTATGGATGAAGAAACAATGAGACTTACTGATACAATACACTCAACATGGGCAAGTAACTTATACTTACACAAGTTCGACAGGTTCTGTTGAAAGTATCTCACGTACTTTCTCAAGGATGAGAGTTGAAATGTAAGCAACCACATACCATTCCATCCATTCTGGTTTCTTGGGAAGTTTAACTAAGACGGTGTATGTGAACAGGCAGAGAAAAAATACATACGCCATCTGCCAAAAATAAAAACAATCAAATATTACATAAATACTTGATTCTAAAGATGCATTAGCTTCTTATTAGGAAAAGAAGAATTGCAGTTACCAAGGAATTACTAGTGTTACCAGTATAATTTCTCTACAACATATAAATTTAAACTTGCAATAAAGTAATTACGTATTATTATTATTATTATTGTTATTATTATCGACAAAAAATTACAAATGCAGGAATGAATTGTTTAAAATCTCCAACACAATTCTGCATATATCAACTGCAAGAAATAAACTTGGCCTTACTGAGTGAGCCCAAAACTTAGAGATAGGAGCATTGTAGAACTCGTAAAACTTCGTCCTGGCTGGTAGCTGTTTAGAGTGGAGGTCATTGAAAATGTTGGAGTCCAGATGTGACAAATGGCTCATGGACACCCCATTTTGTCTCACCGGGGTACCATGTCCATCCACAGTGTCTACTGTCTCGGGCTGGGGAGGTGGCACCAACAGTGTGCTTGAATGTGCTGCAGCAGTGTTGCTGTTGCATAGTGGTGCCTGTATAAGAGAGAGAGAGACTGTAGTAGCAAAATATTTTAAAACGTTCCTGTTTATTGTCCAGCGTGTTAAAAAATTACTAAATTTTCGCATGTTTTTAATATATTTTTTATATGATGAATTAAACATTGGAAATTGGATGATGCTCTTTTTATTCCTAATTTTATAGTCTGAAATGTTTACATAGATGCAATGCTACAAGGAAATTTGTAACAAAATAAAATAAAAGAGTATATACTGTACAGCAGGAATAGAGAGCATTCGCTAAGAGATGTAGTCAAAATGAAGAAGTTAAAACAAGTTTAACATTATGCAGCTGTCAACATAAGCATAGACAAATATAAACTTTTAACCATACTAAGCACTGGATGTATTCTGAATGTATTTTCCCTACAGTATGCATGATATATTATCAAGAGATAATACAATTATGCAGTTGAAGGTCTCCAGTCTGGTGTTCTATATTCATGCAACATTCATAATCCAGCACTGAATGAAATGAGACTAGCCACTGAGGTTGTGCCCATGTTTTGTCAATTTTCAAGAAACAGATTACTCTGCACCTTACTTTAAGAAAGGTTCTGAGGTAGTGTAATGTACATGTCCTGAACCTGTGACAGCACTTACAACACCAAGCCTCTCTCTGAGGATTATGTGTCAGAGCTGAGCTTTACTGATCCAGCAAGCATTTGTACATCAACTCTGGATGGAATAGATCTACCTCCTGCCTCTCTTACTGTATAAACTGCTTAGTTGTAATGATCTTCGACTTCTTCCTTCTTGTAGTTGCAAAAGCTACTGATATTCCAATTCAATTTTATATCTAAAACATTTCCTTATGCATTACACTTTAAATCAGAGGAAGGACTATTACATCCACATCAATTTCATACTATGTTAATATTGTACAAGAAATCTGTATGTTATAACCCACAACTTAGTGAATACAGTAGCCTATCTCATGCCATACCTATTTATTGTAAGAAAAACTTTTAACTGTTTTACATTATCAATTTATTTGTGTAATCTTTTTTTTATTAACACATTGGCCACTTCCCACCGAGGCAGGGTGACCCGAAAAAGAAGAAACGCTTTCATCATCATTCACTCCATCACTGTTTTGCCAGAGGTGCACCTACACTACAAATGTTATTTATTGCCCTCCAGGGTGTCCTACCTGAGGCTGGAGGGTTGGGGTGACGGGGTGAGAGGGATGAGACACAGTGTTCACCAGCTGTGCCTAGAAGAAGAGGGACACACAAGAGGAAAAGAACAATCTTAACAAAATCTATCCTTGAAGGTTGCTGAAAATTCACATTTAGAGAATGTTTTAAAAAATGCAACATTTAAAAAAAAGACTGTCACAGAAGACTACATTTCAAAGCAGGGACCATCAAACAAACAGCACAACGCTTGCATAAAAAATGCACAGCATGAAAATTATATGTTGTGAACCTCTACACATGTCCTAACAGTGACAAATGCAATTACAATACATGATATTTAAGCACTTTACACTTCTATAGTTCAGAGTTAGACAGCATACTGAAGTAATTTTTAATTATGTAAGACTGATAAGGGAAAGGAAGTGTCAAATAGATAGCCTTCTTAAAAACAAACCATGGAATGGATGGGATTTGAACCCATGGTGACTCACTCACCATGGGTTCAAATCCCACCCATTCCATGGCTTGCAATCATGTTAAGATTTCGTGAGAAAAGATATCCTTCTTCATTACAAACCTCTTCCTCCCTCTTTCCCCGAGAGCACTTTTTGTGATGGAGGGATAAAGATCTTTGGTGACATTTTGGCTAGCACTGGCAGACTGGCCATGCAAATTTATTTAGCACTGTTCCCATATACCTGTAATTCATACACTCACATATACTACTGTTACTACTCTCAAGGAAGGTAAGCTTGCCCTGTAGATGTGGCCTTCTGGTGAGCAACTGTGTTTTCATTTAGTGGACGATGGTAAAGCAGTAGGTTCAGTGTTGGCTCTGCTCAATCAATCAGTTTGTCATGAACCACTTCCTTGCAGTCAGCTAGTGGGTTGAGTGCTGGTACACTAACATTCATATGTTTTTAAAGTGGACTGCAGTTTTCTATGCATTGTAAGTTTTAGGTAGCAAGAGGTAGGTGGGGTGGTGCTTGGTATCTTCAGTGGATTAAAGCTAGGGTTGATCAAGTATAGGATAGTGCACGCGCACACAGAGGTATGATAAAGCTCAAGGTTCAGGGAGAGTGACCTAGTAGCGACCAGTGAAGAGGCGGGGCCAGGAGCTTGGACTCGACCCCTGCAACTTCAACCAGGTGAGTGTGCACGCATGCACACACGCACACGCACATGCACACGCACACACACACACACACTTACTTATGATCCTGTGGCTGCTCACATACCTTCTGCTAATTACTTTAACAGGAAGGCCCCATTTTACAGCATTTCACTTTACAGAGTTTTGCTAATACAGTGGTTTACAATTATACCCATTCTTCATTTATTCAGACTTCCTACAATAAATATATTCGCCATTTACTATAAGCTAAATACAAAATTATTTTAAGGTAAGTAATGTGTACATTTTTTTTAGGATTAGCTATATTGCTCACTTAATATATGATAGTGTAAACATGTTATCAGGCTTTTATATGCCTTTGAAAGTGAAAAGTGGTTATGATTCACTTTACAGTGATTTTCACTTTACAGCAATAACCTGGAACCTAACCTGCTGTATAAGCAGGGCCTTCCTGTATATATGTTTTTTAACATCAGCCATCTCCCACCGAGGTAGGGTGACCCAAAAAAGAAGAGATACTCTCACCATCATTCACTCTATCACTGTCTTGCCAGTGGCACACCAGTACTACAACTCAGGTGCCCCTTCAAATTGCAGATATCTCTAGCCCTTCTTCAGAGTCCAGGCACTGTACTTCCCACCTCCAGGACGAAAATCTGGCTAATCAGTTTTCCTAAAAACCTTCACAAATGTTACCTTGCTCATACTCCAACAGCACATCAAGTCATAAAAACCACTTGCCTGTTTAACACTCGCACACACCTGCTGGATGTTCAAGCCGCTTGCACACAAAACCTCCTTTACCCTCTCTCTCCAATCTTTCTTAGGGCAACCCCTACTCCTCCTTCCCTCCACTACAGATTTATACACCCTCCAAGTCATCCTTATAGATGAAATATTAGTTGGGTTACATATAATAATTACCCCTAAAAAAATGCTGTCATCACATGCACCATCTGACAGAAAAGTAAATAGACTAGAATAAATTTTAAGGATTTATACAGAATATGAAGAAATAAAAGTTATACAGGAACATAAGAATAGGGGAGCACTGCAGTAGGCCTACTGGCCCATGCAAAGTAGGTCCTAAAAATTATTACGTAATTAAAGATTAACATAAAAAAAGCTGAATACAAGGTTTTCCATAAACAACATTCTGTAATAAGGAAATATATGGACAAACAGTTGATGTAATAAGGAAGATAAACTATAAACATTACAAAATATAAAAAATAAAATGGATTAAGCAAACCATTCTGTTTTCCTGATGGCTCTTTGTGGAAAGATAGAGGAGTCACAACACTCTCGTTCCACACCTGCCTCTCCTTACGTTCGAACGTGGAGAGAGGGGTCACAGCCCCCTTCCCGCTTACCACCTGTTGGAGATAAATTTCTCCACATTGTTGTTGTTAGTAGTCTTACCTCAGGATCATGATCATGTCTCATATCAAGATTGTCTTCCTCTGACTCTGTGTCACTCTCAGAGTCAGAGGATCTCACAGGGTCATCATCCTGATGCTCCTCACGGGTCTGTGGCATCGTTTTAAGCTCCTCTCGACTTCGAAATCCCAAAACTGGGATTAAAGGTGGGAAGAGAAGACTCAGCATGACCTGAAAATGAAAATAAATTGTACTCAAAGAAAGAACAGAAAATACAAGTACAGTGGACCTTCCCTTTTCGTCGATCTCTGTTACCGCCGATTTCAGTTATCGCTGATTTTTTCGAGAAAATATTGCCTCCGTTGCCATTGCTTTCCTCAGTTTTCGTTGTTGGTATGGTACCTGTCCAAGTGCCCTGCGTGCACACAAAGCCTCCTCCACACACATTCTCAGGCAGTGTTGCATTGTTTCTCAGTGAGTGAACATTATCCTGCGAGGTCATACAAAACATTTCGTAATAATCCATTGCTTTTGGCATTTGTTTATTGTGTGTGACTGCTAAATAAGCAACCATGGGCCCAAAGAAAGTGAAAAAACTGAAAAACACGATGGAATTAAAGAGTGTAGCAGGCATGCAGGAAGTGTAGCAGGAAGCAGGGAGTGTAGCAGGGAGGCAGGGAGTGTAGCAGGAAAGCAGGGAGTATAGCAGGCATGCAGGGAGTGTAACAGGAAGCAGGGAGTGTAGCAGGGAGGCAGGGACTGTAGCAGGGAAGCAGGGGGTGTAGCAGGCATGTAGGGAGTGTAGCAGGAAGGCAGGAGTGTAGCAGGCATGCAGGGAGTGTAGCAGGCAGGGAGGGAGTGTAGCAGGGAGGCAGGGAGTGTAGCAGGCATGTAGGGAGTGTAGCAGGCATGCAGGGAGTGTAGCAGGCATGCAGGGAGTGTGGCAGGGAGGCAGGGAGTGTAGCAGGCATGCAGGGAGTGTAGCAGGCATGCAGGGAGTGTAGCAGGCATGCAGGGAGTGTAGCAGGCATGCAGGGAGTGTGGCAGGGAGGCAGGGAGTGTAGCAGGCATGCAGGGAGTGTAGCAGGCATGCAGGGAGTGTAGCAGGCATGCAGGGAGTGTAGCAGGCATGCAGAGTGTGTAACAGGCAGGGAAGGAGTCTAGCAGAGAGGCAGTGAGTGGAGCAGGGAGGCAGGGAGTGTAGCAGGCATGCAGGGAGTGTAGTAGAAAGGCAGGGAGTGTAGCAGGTATGCAGGGAGTGTAGCAGGAATGCAGGGAGTGGAGCAGGAAGGCAGGGAGTGTAGCAGGGAGGCAGGGAGTGTAGCAGGCATGTAGGGAGTGTAGAAGGCAGGGAGGGAGTGTAGCAGGCATGCAGGGAGTGTAAGAGACATGCAGATAGTGTAGCAGGTAGGGAGTTTAGCAGCAAGGCAGGAAGTGTAGCAGGCAGAGAGTGCACAGTTTTTTTGTGCAACAGGGGTGCAGTGACTCTCAAGCTGGTCCTAGTGCCAGTAATAGACAAAGAAAGGAAGTAGCCCCGGATGAGGACTTGGTACCTAAAGTCCTTATGCAAGGGGATTTCCCTACCAAAGAATAACCTCTATTCCCTCTCCCCTCCTCCCTGTCTTCCATACATGAACAAGAATCTTCAATAAAGGTAAGTGTCATGTTGAATGTTCATTCTTTTCTGCATGTACATCTATATTTAAGCTAAAAAAAAATTTTTTTTGTTAATACTTTCGGGTGTCTGGAATGGATTAATTGGATTTACATTATTTCTTATTGGGAAAATGATTACAGTGTTCATTGATTTCAGTTTTTGCCAGTCTCTCTCGAACGGATTAATGACGAAAACGGAGGGTCCACTGTATCTAAGGTTATGATAAATAGTTCAATGAGGTAGTGTAGTAGTCATTTACTGGGATTCGTATGTAAAGTACGTATCTGCATAAATTGCATGAACATGTCTTTAAGGGTTCAAACTAAAGTGCAGTTATAAGTAGGCAAACTGCACAGAAACATCAAAATATGCAAGAAAACAAGTTCTTACTTTTGTATAATACAGAAATTAATATGAAATGCTTAATTCTCATAATTCTGCTTAATAAATAAAGTTTTAGAGTACTAGGGGCTTGAACATTCAACAGGCTTATATAAGCATATTAGACAGGAGTGGAAGGAAGTGGCTTTTATAAGTTAACTTGCTGTTAGAATAGGAGCAAGATAACATTTATGAAGGGATTCAGGGAAACTGGTTAGTCAAACTCGAGTCCTGGAGGTGGGAAATAAAAGACCTGCATTCTAAGTAAGGGTGGGGATGTTGCAGTTTGGATGGTCATCTAAACTGTGATGTCGGCGCCCTTCCGGCAAGACAGTAAGAGATCGAGTGACAGTGAAAGTGCTTTCTTCTGTGTCAAGTCACCCTACCTCAGTGGGAGATATCCAAAGTAAAAAAAAAAAAGGCATATAGAAAATTTATACTAGCATTAGCTCTGCCCAACCTACTGTATATATTATGGCACTGCAATACTGCACTCTCACATATTATAAATCTTTTTAAAAATTATATTTAACTTAAATCATATTATAATTAATTTTTTTATTTTTGTTGTTGTAAAAGAAGAAAGGACATCATGAAAATAAACTTTTTCCTGTAACTTCTAGTAGACAAATACATGCATGCAAACACAAACAATTACTGGATCCAGGGCTGTGGAGTCAGAGTTGTAGTCAAAAGCAATTCTTGGGTTACTGGCATCTGAGTTGATGTCAGTAAAGTGTAATACAGGAGTCTGAGTTGGAGGTGCCATAAATAAAGGAGTCAGAGTTGAAAGTTTTATATGGCAAATCCAAAGCCCTGGTTAGAAGAGGGCTTCACGAGTAAACAAAGCCTCGTATTATGCTAAAATGATCTGATTCAGCTTTTTAAGTGTATATTCTTAATAAGCATAAAAACTAGTACCCCTGGGGCGATTTTAAACAATTTTCAAAATTCGTCCGAAAATGGTTAAAAACGCTGAACTATAGTCATGTTTTTTTTAGGTGAAAAATCTTTTTCTCTAAAAACAGAAAATGGTCATTATGACAGTGTTTGTTGGATCAATTACTCCCCACAAATGTGAAAAAATCCTGGATATATAGCTTTCATTGAGAGTTATACGAGTTTTGATAATATATGTGAGCTGTGTAAGGGGCTTCAGCCAATGAAGAAATCAGAGGGAAAAAGACAGCCATCATATCATTCTAAAACTATCTCTTTTTATGTTTTAAAGTGCATTATCTTAAGTAGTATAAAAAAATAGGTCAACTACAGTGGCTTTAACCCTTAAACTGTCCAAATGTAGATCTACATTTTTTTTACATCTGCAAGCATGTAAAATAAAACGTAGATCAACGTTCAAAGCGCTACACAAGTGAACGTAGATCTACGTTTGGACAGAGTAAAAGTTAAGCATTTTTTCAATTTGGCTGATAGTGTATAAATGTTGCACTATTGTCCAGTGATCGGGAAAGAAGAAGAAAAAAAAAAAAAAAAATTATATATATATATGCAATAAGATCACAGTGAACAGGTGATTTCAAAATATGCAAAACAACCACTCTGAAAGAATAGAGAAATTCCAAGCGCTTTCGTGACTACTCACATTATCAAGGAACTATAGTTCCTTGATAATGTGAGTAGTCACGGGAAAGCGCTTGGAATTTCTCTATTCTTTCAGAGTGGTTGTTTTGCATATATATATATATATATATATTTTATAATATATATATATATTATATATATATTATATATAATATATATATTTATATTTATATATATATATATATATATACACACACATATAAAATATACATAAATTATATATATATATATATATATATAAATAAAAAATACAAGGTATGATGTAGCACGTAATGAAAGTAGTTTATTAGATTATGTATTGGTGGATAAAAGGTTGATGGGTAGGCTCCCGGATGTAACTTGTTTATAGAGGGGCAACTGATATATCGGATCATTATTTATTGTAGCTACAGTTAGAGTAAGAGGTAGATGGGAAAAGAGGAAGGTGGCAACAACAAGTAAGAGGGAGGTGAAAGTGTATAAACTAAGGGAGGGGGAAAGTTCGGGTGAGATATAAGCGACTATTGGCAGAAAGGTGGGCTAGTGCAAAGATGAGTATGGGGGGGTTAAAGAGGGTTTGGAATAGTTTTAAAAAATGCAGTATTAGAATGTGGGGCAGAAGTTTGTGGTTATAGGAGGGTGGGGGCAGGAGGAAAGGGGAGTGTTTTGGTGGAATGATGAAGAAAAGGGGTTGTGATAAAAGAGAAAAAGGTAGCTTATGAGAGGTTTTTACAAAGCAGAAGTGTTATAAAAAAGAGCAGAGTATATGGAGAGTAAAAGAAAGGTAAAGAGAGTGTGAGAGAGTGAAAAAAGGAGAGCAGATGATTAGAGTGGGAGAGGCACTGTCAAGAAATTTTAATGAAAAAGAAAAAATTTTGGACGGGGTTAAACAAGTTAAGAAAGCCTAGGGAAAATATGGATTTGTCAGTTAAAAACAGAGTAGGGGAGTTAGTAGATGGGGAAAATGGAGGTATTGGGTAGATGGCGAGAATATTTTGAGGAACTTTTAAATGTTAAAAGGGAAAAAACAGAGGCAGTAATTTCATGCACTGGTCAGGGAGGTTTCCATCTTTTAGGAGTGAAAAAGAGCAGAATGTAAGTGTGGGGGAGGTACGTGAGGCATTACGTAAAATGAAAGGGGGGGAAAGCAGCTGGAACTGATGGGATCATGACAGAAATGTTAAAAGCAGGGGGGGATATAGTGTTGGAGTGGTTGGTACTTTTTTTTAATAAATGTATGAAAGAGGGAAGGTACCTAGGGATTGGCAGAGAGCATGTATAAATCCCTTTATATAAAGGGAAAGGGGACAAAGAGACTGTTAAAAATTACAGAGGAATAAGCTTACTGAGTATACCAGGAAAAGTGTACGGTAGGGTTATAATTGAAAGAATTAGAGGTAAGGGCAGAATGTAGGATTGCGGATGAGCAAGGAGGTTTTAGAGTGGGTAGGGGATGTGTAGATCGGTGTTTACATTGAAGCATATATGTGAACAGTATTTAGTAAAAAATAGGAGGTTTTTATTGCATTTTGGGATTTAGAAAAGGCATATGATAAGGGGATAGAGGAGCAATGTGGCAGATGTTGCAAGTATATGGAATAGGTGGTAAGTT